CTCTCTCTACTCTCTAATGTTTGTGAGCTCTAATTTGAGAACTCTAATATAGCTCTGATGATGTGAAGAGTACCCATGCGAAGATGGGGCCCACACTCATCTCTCTATCTCTCTACTCTCTAATGTTTGAGAGCTCTAATTTAAGAGCTTTAATACAGCTCTAATGATGTGAAGAGTATCTATATATAGGTAAGGCCCACACTCCTTTCCCTATGTCTCTCTACTCTCTCTCTCTTCCACCTCACTAATCTTCTTAATCTCAAGCTATTTTAATTAGAGACTACTAGCCTATCACTCGTGCTATGCACAAGATAATTATAGATATTTATATTTATTTTAGATTTTTTTTAATATATAAATTATGTTTTTTAAGATTTTTTATAAAAATAATTTAATAATCTTATCACCAACCATAGTGTATGGGAAAAGTTGAAAAGGGTACTGCAGTAATTATACACAAATTGTATCTATAATTATTTGTATGAGGGGATTTTAAATGCTGATCAGGAGATTTTGACCAAATCAATAAATGCAAGCATGTGGAAAGACATGTGGATTGAAAAAAATTAATAAATGCTGATAAGGGGATTTTGATCAAATCAATAAATGCTGATTTTTTTTAAATAAAAAATAAACAATTTAGAAAATTCAAATTGAGATATTGAAGCTCCCACAAGCCTTAGGGTTAAAAATCCCCTTTTGCTTAATATATAGTATAGAAGTATAGATGTGTTAGACTTTTCAATGAATTAAATGTCTTTTTTTTTATTATATTATATTAAAGTCTAATATTTTGATAATAATCATATGTGTTGCACTTTTTAAGAAATTTTTTTTTATACTTGTTCTCAATGCATTAAAGTGTTATTATGAGAGATAATAATCACATGTGTTGGGACTTTTCAAGGAATTCATATGTGTTGGATTTCAAAGAATTTTTTTTATGCATGTTCTTAATGCATCAAAGTGTTATTATAAGGGTAAGACTTGGCGGTTGGGAGAAGTTAATAAATGCTAAGGTTTTTTTTTTTTAAATCAAAAAATCAAAAAATTTAGATTGAGAGATTGGAACTCCCACACGGCTTAGGGTTAAAAACTCCATTTTGCTTAATATATAGTATAGATATTAACCTATCACTCGTATCATGCACAGGATAATTATAGATATTTATATTTGTTTAATATATAAATTATGTTTTTTAAGATTTTTTATAAAAATAATTTAACAATCTTATCACTAACCATTGTGTATGAAAGAAGTTGAAAAGGGTATTGCAGTAATTATACACAGATTGTATTTATAATTATTTGTATGAGGAGATTTTGACCAAATCAATAAATGCAGTCATGTAGAAAGACATGTGGATTGAAAAAAAGTTAATAAATGCTAATTAGGGGATTTTGACCAAATCAATAAATGCTGAGTTTTTTTTAAATAAAAAATAAAAAATTTAGAAAATTCAGATTGGGATATTGAAGCTTCCACAAGCCTTGGGGGTTAAAACCCCATTTTGTTTAATATATAGTATAGATAGATTATTTAGAGCCATTGAACAAACTACAATCACATTTTTCTTTTTGTGAGTCTTTATGTTTATCTAATTTTAATCATATTAAAAAATAAAATTATAAACAAAATGAGATAATTTCAATCATACAAATCACAATTTTTTTAATGCTATCTAATCATCATCAATAATTAAAAAAATCAATCACAAATTAAGTCAATTGGTAATTAAAAAACACAATAATTTATTTTTCAAAAACATAGTAAGTTAAAAAGATCAATTACAATTTATCTTTTTTGGTCAAAATTCAATATAATCATCATCAATAATTGGTACATTATGTAACCCTAATGAGTACAATCCATTTTGTTTTTCAAAAAACACAGTGAGTTAAAAATCAAATACAAACTACAATCACATCACATTTTTCCCATAATAAAATATATAAATAAATAAATGAAAAAAAAGAACCATTGACTAACTATAATCACATTTTAAAAAAAAAAGAACCATTGAACTAACTATAATCATATTTTTTTTCTTTGTGAGTGTTTATATTTATCTAATTTCAATCATATTAAAAATAAACTTAAAATAGTAAATAAAAAGACTAAATAACATTAAAAAAAAAACCATTGAACTAACCACAACAATCATATTAAAAAAAGAATCATTGAACAAACTACAATCACATCACATTTTTCCCATAATAAAATATATAAATAAATAAATGAAAAAAAAGAACCATTGACTAACTATAGGGCTGAGCAAGGAATCCGTAAAATCCATAATCCGATCCAGTCCAGTCCAATTCGATAGGTTTGGATTGGTTTTTTGAATCCGTGGTTCGGTTCCGAATTGAAAAATTAAAAATTCATAGTCCACGGATTGGTTTTGGATTAAACCCCACGGTTCCGGATTGGAAGCGATCCGGACTGTATGCAAATAGTCTATATTTTTATTATACATCCTCCCTCATAGTATCTTCTCTTATTCTATGTAAAACCTAAATTCAAAGCTAAACCCGTATAATATCTTCTTTTATTACTTTTGTTTGTTAGTTTTTAGTTTTAATTTATAATGGTCTAAATTTTTATGATGAAACCAGTTTTCTTATGGTTGTTTAAATTCTAGAACAGTATATTGCTATTATAGAAAAACATGTTGCTATTGTGGAACTAATATAGTGTTATGTTTATGTTTTTATGAAATTAAAGTGTTATATATATATATATATTTTGTTATTTAATTATGTGAATCTGTGGTCCTAAACCGATCTAATCCGTGTTTAAATGGATTGGTTCGGATTGGTTCCATGATTTAAACAGATTGAATTGGTTCTAATTTTTTAAGAACCGTAGATAACGGATTAGTCCTGGTTTTACCACAATCCGGTCCAATCCGGACCATGCTCACCTCTAACTAACTACAATCACATTAAAAAAATAAAAAAAAAAATCATTGAACTAACTACAATCACATTTTTTTCTTTGTGAGTGTTTATGTTTATCTAACTTCAATCATATTAAAAATAAAATTAAAATAGTAAATAAAAAGATTAAATAACATTAAAAAAAAAACCATTCAACTAACTACAACAATCATATTAAAAAAAAAGAACCATTGAACAAACTACAATCACATCATATTACAATCACATTTTTTTCTTTGTCAGTTTTATGTTTAGGGTTTAGGGTTTAGTGTGTATTGGAGAAGTTAAGAGACTTGGAAGAATTTAATAAGTGCTAAGTTTTTTTTTAAAAAAAAATCAAAAAAATTAAGAAATTAAGATTCAGATATTGAAACTCTCACAAAATTTGTGGGTTAGAGACAAATATAAATAAATAGATAGATATAGATATAGATATAGATATTTGTTTTAAATTTTTTTTAATATACAAATTATTTGTTTTAGAAAAAGTACTGCAGTAATTATGAGAGAAGTTAAAAAGTCTTATGGATTGAGAGACGTTAATAAATGCTGAGCTTAATTTTTTTTTAAAAAAAATTAAAAATTAAAATATTAGAACTCTCACTGACCTTAAGGATTAGAAATCTCTTTTTACTTAATATATAGTATATAGATTTTGCGCTCCCATTCCTGCCCAACAAATTAGTGACTTAGGGTTGGTTTGGCAAGGGCTCATTGGGCTTTTTTGGCTCAATAAGCCATAAAAGACAGAATAGGCTCATGAGCCACAACAGACAAAACATCTCATCCAACCCCATAATCATTACACTCTTCTCTCATAAAAAAAATCAAAAAAACCAAAAAGCCAAAAGTCCTTTTCAAACTAAACTTTTGAGCCCATATAGTCAAAAAAGTTAAAAAATCAATCCACTTCCAAACGGAGGCTTAGATTTATTGATGTTGCATTGGATTACTTTCTAATGTTGGGAATTGATCCTGGGTAACTGTTTTCTTTTTGATTCATTATAACGCACCAATAATATTAGTGATGATAACATAACCTATTTTGTCTTTTATGACTATTTTAGCCCCAATCTTACTTGCCAAACGAACCCTTTACACTAACAAATAGAATAAATTTAGGAATATAAAAATAAATGACAAAATCAAACATATCTCTCATATAAAACTGAGTCTTACACCGCTTTGAGTCTGTGTACAATAAACAAACTTTTTTAATCATTTTTCCCTCCAACAAGCATGGAGTGAAAGACATCATTACTAATTTATCTGTTCCCACAAAGTTTCTTTTCTTTTTTTTCCTTTTTTATTTTTAGGCCTTTTGACTTTTCTAAAGTTTCAAAGAAGGGAGTTGTTATCTACTGCCAAATTTCAAATTTTTTAAAAAGGTAAAGGACCCACTTTCTGTAATTTCTGTTCCTTTCAGCCCTTTCGCATTTCAATCTGGAGTTAAAAATAGTCATAAAATGATAAAATAAAATAAAATATCATATTTAAATTATAATTATTTTATTTTTTCTCTTATAAAAGTCAATAAAATTAAAAAAATTGTTTCAAATAAAATTTTTTAATCCAAATTAAAAAAACTAAAATATCAAAAAAACAACTCACATTCCAATGTAATTTCTATTTATACATCATTGAGCAGACAGTTATTAAAAACGACAAGCACATACATGCAGCATAAAATAGTACATACAGATAAATAACTCCATTCAAAATTATTCACAAAAAAATATAAATTCGAGGGAAAGTTTTATTTGTAACAAGACTTGAAGCCTTTGATCTTCTTCTATTTAAGTACAGGAATTCGAATCAATAATATTAATTATACTTAATTAAAAATTAATAAATTTCAACCAATTTTTCTCAATTACATTAGATCATGTACATCTTTATTGGAAGGAAAGCGTATGAAATATATAAAAGATCAAAACAGATACAAAGGACAAGCATGACCATACCGGGCTAGAACCTAACCATCAATACTACACACACACACACACACACAAAAAAAAAAAAAAAAAGGGTCCAACTCTCCATCAAACAAAAGGCCACAATTAAATTAACTGTTTCAAAAAGATGTGAAATTTTCTGTCCATATTGTTTACACACCTAGCAGAGGACAATTGCCCAATATCATACAGTCAATTAAGAATTTGTATTACATTCAACGACCAAGGGCACAATAGTGTTAATCTGTACGAAAAATGAGTTCAAATTTTAAGACGCAAAAGCACTTAAAACAAGTGCTTTGATTTGACGTGGATAAGTGAGAACTACTTGTTAACTTGTATGCAGAGGTGTGCTTTAACTGGTTTATGATCGGAACTGTGAATAGTGTCTATTGATTCATAGGAGTGTAGAGTCGCATTGATCTTGTCAACGTCTTCTATCTTGAACAATATCCGATCTGTCCATGATGGTACTCTTACCTATCAATAAGAAAAAAACATATCAATGAAGGATAACCACCCCAAAAAAAAAAAATCAAGACCAAAAAAAAAAACAGATACATATATATATACTTTGTTACTTGTATCATAACTGTTACTTCCGATGTCATATTTATATGTTGGTTTGAATGCTAATGTTCCCTCGCAATATCCGCTAAAAATCTGCCCTCTTTCAGCCTCTTGTAAGAGTTGGTCTTTCCCGGTGAGTAGCTGCAGAGTTCACAGAAAAACAAAACATCAAAAATATATTTTGCAGCATATATTTCTAAATTTAATTAAGTGATGGGAGCTGGTTCAACTTTGCAATTTGTTTTTAGTTTGCACAATTAGGACTAGCTGCAGACTACTGTAGAGTTCCATATGAAATTGCATAATATGAAAAGTGAGTTAAATAACTCACTTTGTGAAGGTTTTCCTGAATTAGACTTCTGGCTGGAAATGCATTAATCCCCTGAAGTCTGTAGTTGAGATCTCCTAACCATATGGTGATTTGGGCAGGTCTTGAAAAAGGGTTCCAAATTTTGGAGAAGAGGGAGTCTGATATGTTCCTGAATTGAGAATTTCTCTCTTCCACGTTGCGGGTGTGAGCTGCATGTGTAAAAAAAAAAAAAAATTATAATAAATTTTTTTAAAACAAATCCCTAGTGTAATATGAGACACAGAGAGAGAGAGAGAGTTACCGGAAAGATGACAAGAGATGAAGACCATAAGGGTTCCATTGTAGTTAATTCTAATAGCCACCGCCCCTTTTTTTCGCCTAATTAATCCTCCACAGCCTCCAGCAGCATATTTATCCATTTTCAATTCTACAAATTAATTCCCGCATTTAAACGTAAGAGTTAGCAATTATTATTTTCAAGATTAATTTTCAAAACCAATATCACCTTTGATGAACAACTCTGAGTTCTTTAGTCCAAACACATACAGCTGCACAGATTGCATGATGGCTTTCCCTAACAGGCTTCATAATTTGAAAAGAAGAAAAATAAAATAAAATAATTAATTTGACATAACAAGCGAAGTCCACGTGTTTTTAAAGATATTAAAATGCCAAATTGTGACATAGACTTAAAAAATATTAAAAAAAAACTTCCTAGCTAGAACAATATCCTTCACATATGGTTGTGATGAGTTTGCAATTTTTAGGGTGTTCAAGATAGGGCAAATAGTATTTGAACAGACAACAGTGAAGTGTCATACATACGTAACGACATTCTTGTTCTTTTAGCACTAAATTTTCATAGAAGATGGCGACTATTCTTGTTTTGTACTTCAATTTCAATGAAATGGACAACCCATAAAAATTGAGCAACAAAAAATTTTAAAATTTAAGAGAACAAAAAAAAAATTAAGAATTGACAGACAGCGATGAAACGAAGAAAGTAGATTAAGACAAAATTGCAATATGTAATACATACATGTGAGATTCAACTAGAGCTGCCTGCAACAGCCTGGAAATATTGTTCCGAGGGGCCTCTTGGAGGCCGACCACCAGCAGATGAAACTTCCTGTCTCTCCCAACCAGTTCTTCTATGTCTTCATATGAGACCTGCTTCACCCCCAAAAAAATCAAAATTGGACCAAAAATTAGTAAGTATGAGTTGAGTTCCAAGGTTTAAAAAATGGGATAAGGAGGCCAATAAGTATCAATTGCTATGTCACAGCTTTAAGTATTGAGCAATATGAATTAAAAAATTAGATGCCACATCAATTTTTTTTTTTAAAATCATTGACTTTATAGTTGCCGAACCATATTAATTGTGTACTAATAGTACGGCTATGGGAAAACAAGTATGAAGCGGCCCATGAGATAGGGGCAGGGCGAGGCGGGGCAGGTGAAATTGACATCGCTATTGGAATTTATCGATATCAAAAGATCAAAAACTCGATACATATCTACCCATATATAAAATCATATTTGTTTGAAGGATGATATGAAAAAAAATCCATTGCTGAGCAAGAAATAGGTCACCTGTCCATTCATATTCCAAGTGACTACGCAAATGCAGAGATCCGAACTACTGGAGAAGTCACAATAATTGTCCACCCCTACAGTCTTTATCCCTTCATGAATCCCGATTTCATTCTTCATGAAACCTTTTGGTTTTCTCTTCAACTTTGATCTTGCTCTGCATAGTCCAACAAAACCCATTGTCATATCTACGAAATAATAAAAAAAATACCGAGTATCAGAAACGCACACTAGTTTTAAAATTTTAAAAACTGAAAATTTGAAGAAGAAAGAACATGAATGAGGATAATATGATATACCCTTTACTAGTTCCGATACAAATAGTGCAGAGATTCCTCATATTCTTCTGATTTGTGATTCACTTGAGCCTTCACTTCCTTGCTAATCATATTGCATGATATACAAAAAAAACAGATGTTTTAGAGATAGAGAGAGAGAGCCCATTGACTTCGACTTTTAAATTTCACAAGTACGGAAAATTGGAGTTTAGGCGGTGAAGATATGAAGGAAAAGTCAAAACGTTGTTGAGAGAGATCTCCCATTTGATCTCTACTATTTCTTGACGGGTTAGGTTGTGTGTTATTGACATTGTAGAAAACTACTTGTACCTATCAAACTTGAAAACAACTACTGAGAGCAACTAGTCTCTTATCTGTACTCCCAAAACTCAAAACTTATAACTTCTATACAATGAACAATGTGAATGTGAACTGTTAGCATTAAATTATAACTTAAATGAAATGAAAATATGAATCTGGTGATGTTGACTGCATGTATTCAATGAACCAAAATGTGTTATTTAAGCCTAGTTTAGAAACGATCTGTTTTAGCCTAAAAACTAAAAAAATATTAAAAAAATTAAATAGCCAACCATTTATACTAAAAAGTCAAAGATTTTATTTTCTCTCTACTTTTTGCACATATTTTCGTAAAAAATCAAAAAATATCCCAAACATACTAATTTTTTTACATCATAAATTAATCAAAAAGTTACTAAAAACATCTATTACCAAACGAGGCCTTATTATTCGGTTTGGTTGAGTAATGCTCTCGGTTTGGATGGGGTGATGATGATTTGGCAAGGATTGATAAGAAATGATGAAAAAAGAATAATACCATATGCATCAATTAGTGTACTAATTAGTGTATCAATTGATGATGTGTCATAATTTAAGAGGTTTTTGATATTTGTAACATAATTAATGAGTGAGGTTAATAATAATATCATAGCTAATGTTGGTACACTAATTAGTATACTAATTGATGCATGTAGCACCACTGATGAAAAAATGAACTTTTTTCTCATATTTAATTTATAAGTTGAGTGAGAAATTGTGAGAAATGGTAAAAATTTGTGAGAGAAAATTCTCATACTAAGCTTATTAGTTGTGAAATTTTGTCCCTTAAGTTTATTTCGTATCAAGATAGCAATTAATACGTTAATAATTAGATTATAATGAAGGCCAATGTCTTTTTATAAAGTGTAATGATTGAGACCCTTACAAAAATTTCACCTCCACAACCCTTACATCATCATATGTGAGAGACAAAGAAAAAAAAAATAAAAACACACATGGACCAATCACATACATTTAAAGGTCTTCAAATTAGGGGTCCCAAGCTTTTTCCTTCTATAAATTCAAATTTGAAATCTCACTCATTTTGATACCTAAATGCCTTCTTTATAACCACTTAGCTAATTACCTCTAATCACGCTCTAAAAACATTGATTAACAGTGTTTTAATTGATCTTGAGTTTGTTTTACATCCCTTCCCTTTTCTGTTTTTCCTCCATAAATTTCTTTACAAACTCAAATTTCAAACACTGCTAAATAATTTTTGGTATAACTTTCTATTATTCATTTATGATTATCCATGCATTATTATATATTTTTACACATGTCATGATCTTATAGGTAAAAACATGAAAATAATTCAAAACCAGACATAAACTTCTACGTGACTTTTTGTTTGGTGGTTCAACAATCAACAAGTTCATAAAAGAAAAAAACAATCAACACTAATTTGGTATTTTCAGTGGTTTCTTGTACCATCGGTAACCAACCTTGTGACGCAATAGCAGAACCGTCATAGAAATTTAGCTTTCCTTTTCTGTTTTTTTTTTCCTCTCCAAAAAATTAGTAAATTTAAGATTCAAACACGAATAAAAAAGGACAAGTGTCCTCTTCAATATCAAGCATTCATCAAATATATAGAGGATTAACAATAATTTTGAGAAAAGGATGGAGAGAGAGATTTAAGTGGAAACTGATTGTGGCAGTCAAGGGTGATGCTATAATACATTTGGATATACCATACATCGTTATAAGGATATGTAATTTTATATTATAACTAATATCATGTAGATTATAATCATTATCACATTAACTTATACAACAATGCTACAGACCACTAAATTTCTACCACTAACACCACCACTAATGATGTGACAAGTAAAAAAAAAAAAAAACAAAACAAAAACTAAGACACAAAACACATGTGGCATTGGGTGAGGCTTACTGCCATATCTCTAGTGCAACCACTAATTAGTGGTCTGCATCATTTTTCTAACTTATAACTTGGTTATATGCATACCATATCATCTCATAACTACCACATAACTATATTATTTTAATAATTTAATTTTGAATTGGCAACCGGTGTAACCGGTTACCAAAAAGAAGGCAAAGGAAATCAGAGGAGTCTGGGAGTCCCAATATCACATATCTTGTACGAGCACGAAATAATTCTTTTCGTATAATCCTGTTGACCAAGTCTGCGCTCCTCCAAACGTCATCGCTTTACTCCCTGAAAACACAAACGTGAGCTAGCCGGCGGGTGTGTGCCGGATACCTCTCCGATGCCTAAGTTAGCAAAATAGACAAATAGATAAAAGCTCTGTATATTCGAGAATCAAAGTTGTGTTACCTCTCCATAGGTGATGTTGTGAGTTTTTATAGGTTCGTGTGGCCCAATCCTAGTAGCACTCTTATTCCTCCATGTAGAGTCCTCATAGGAATCACACTCCTGAAAGATAATGCTTATCCTTCAACACCCCCCTCACTGCTTAAACCAAGTGAGATGGTTTTACCTCGGTAGTATGACAAAACGACCGAGCTAACATAGTCATGCTTAAGCGGCAGAAATGACCGAGCTCCAACTAGCTCGGTACTTCCCTTCATTGCTCGTACCTCGGTTTGGTCCGCTGAGACCGAGCTAACCGCAGTAAGCTTTGATCGAGCTAACGAGAGTAAGGTCCATCACAAGAAGCCCCAAATACCTCAGTTCTGAATACCATGACCGAACTAAATATTACCATACCGTCCGTGGTAACCACAACCACAATTGGACCGAGCTAAACGCAAGGTCCTTTCACTGGGCCCTTTTTACCGCGGCCCACCGAACGGCCCATTATCGCGCATTGGCCTAGCTTGGCCCTAGTGCACATAAAAACTTCCCTCTCAATTGCCCTTTAATTTCATCTGCGCAGCATGATTGGGATTACCTATTTCCTGCCGAGCTAAAACTTTTAGCCTTTCAACCGAGATAAAATGCCACCAGGCTACCGATTGGTTCGGTCAAAAAACATCTCTTCAGTCACGCTGTCATCTGAATCACTTGCTATTCCATAGACACGTGGCAGGCCCCTACTGGTTGAGTACAGCTGCCAACGCCGACTTCGTACCTCGTGAATTTTGAATAGTCCCGCCTTTTTCACTCTCTTTACACAAAACAAAACCCTATTTTTCGAACCAACTTATCACTATTCATCTTCTTCTCTCTCTACTTTCTGAGCTTTCATTCTTCTTCATCACTGCGTCTACAAAGCTCTTCCTTGCGATCTCGATCTTTATTCTCTCGACTTCAAACTGTAAGTAACTCAATCCATTTCCTTTTTGTTTTGTCTAGTTTCCATAGTACGTAGCATAATACTCGTATGTTTTTCAAAACACATATACCTTTTTTGCTTCCATTTTTCTGGAAAAGAACCACGTAATAGAACCACTGTATTCATGAATAATCTGAAGAACGATGTGTTTAATCCAAAATAGAATTCCAACCGAGCTAGGAACCTATTTATACTTAAGGTGTGCACCCAGCCGAACTAGATTAAGTTCCAATAGGTCTTCCCTTCAGTTTCACTTAGCCTTACTAAGGAACTGTATTAGGCGTGCGTACTACCGAACTAGAAAACCTTAACCAAAGACCGGGCTACCACTTGGCCTCAAACCAGCTATCTCACTTAATAAAAACCGAACTAAGAATGCTGCATGCTAAGCTTCAACCGCCGACTGAGCTATAACTAGGGACCAAAAAAGCTCCCTGACTTAGTTAAAACCGAACTAAGGAGGCTGCTCCATAAGCTTCAACCCGGCTAAAGTCATTCGCTCAAACCGAGCTAAGAATGGGTAGTATCCCACATAGCCGAGCTTAAGGCAACATGTATTTTACCTTTGTTTCTTTTAGCACGGTCCAACAATTTATGCTTAACACCTTTCTTTTTCACTTTGCAGACTTAGGTTGGCCAGGCACTCCTTTGAACGCTCAACCGAGCTACTCAGCGTCATCTCACCACTGAGCCAGCACTCAACTAATTTATACATAATTTAAAACCACATGGGTAAATATAGGTTTCTAGTAAACTCACCAAGGGCTATGACCGAGTTCCAAAGGGACTACCATATCCCCGATGACGTCCATCTTAGTTTAGAGGAGCTAGACACCATACCCTGGGGAAAGACGGGCTTCGTTCACTTCACCCTTCTTTCAATTATAGAAACCGGACTTCGATTCCCTGTACAACCTCTTCTTTGTGAATTCCTCAGACAAACAAACCTTTGCCCTACCCAGCTTTCCACAAATTCGTACAGAATAGTAAATGGCATTGCCGAGCTAAACCGCCGGCTTGGCCTCAACCTCGGTTTAGCTGAGATATTTCACCAATACTCTCTAGGCCAAAACGAAGACGGCTGGGTTTATTATTTAAGAATAAGGCGCTATCGTGAAAAGATAATAAAGAAGACCCCAGATAAGGACATCAAAGACGACGATTTTTTCTGGCTTTCTAGGAATTTTGAAGACCATGAGGCCTAGATCCCAGGCGACCGAATTAACTGGAACAAAGGAGTTGCCAGTATAATTACCTCGTCATAGTTTTGTGCTTTCTTTACCGTTGATTTCATTTTCAACCGGCCTAACCGTTGTCTTTTTCCTTTATGCAGATTTGAACTTTCTCAAGTCCCAGTACAGCTACCCCAACCTTGACACCCTTTGCGTCGCACTAAGATATCCAAATCGGAGTTGGACCGAGTTACTCAACTTCAAGCCGACCTACAGATACAGAAGCAGGAGGAAGACTAGGGTAACAGACTTCCTCTTGGAGCCCTCTCCTGAACCTGATCCAACCCTCCCACAAATCAATCTTATCCCGTTGTCCGCAGAACAAGAGATGGCAAAAAAAAGAGCAGTGAGAGCTCTTGTCACCGAAACCAACCTACCTCCAGCCGGCCAGGCAAATGAAGCCGTGGTAGCGCTTCCCACCTCCCAGCCGTCATCATCTAGGGTAAGCAAGCGTGCTTGGACTTCCACAACCGAGCCACGCCTTGTTGACGAGGAGGAAACCATGCTTCCG